GAGACTTTCTAAGGACACTGTCCTTACGAATCTTTGCTGTCTGAATGCTCTGAGACAGTGCTTCTACCTCGGTGGTGTAGTGTGCCATCCTTTTATGATCTGGAGGGAAAGCGTTAAGTTAGAGAATGTGTTATTGTAAGTGATCTTTCTCTGCCTCGTGTGCTTGAATTTGACCCTTTAAGAGGCAGCTAGAAGTTATGGCATGTCTTCGTGACAAGCATGGGTGTGCGAAGAACGTCTGTGTTCGAGGCCATGAGACTCGGAATAGGACGCCTGGATTTGGTTCCTGGTTTTGCTACCGAATGGCAGAATGTATTTGGTTCAGTCGTTTATATTAGCTTCATCGTTTAGAAAGTGGGATTATTAATGCCTGCCTCAACAGCTTCATTTACAATGGCACCTTTTGTTCCCTGTCAACATCACTAATGTGAATACTTTTCAAAATCCCGTAAAATCAAGGAAGAGAAAGAAGAGGATGTAGAGATCCCCTCCTGAGCCATGGCAGCAGTTTGCCCCGTCAGAATTCCCAGCAGACTTGGATCCTATCCAATGCTTTTTATCCTTACATTCGACATGTTCATAGTCATCTTCTCCATCTTTATTCATTTGAATGCATGGACATTTAATTTCATATGACAACAGAATCCAATGTGTATATAAGTTAACTTCTGAACACAATATAAACTTCGATTTTGGGAGGAGCGGTCACTCAATGATGGGTTTGGGATTGCTCAATTTTGCTCATTTCTGTACTCCCGGTGTCCAGCACAGTGCCTCACACACTCAGGGGTCTTCACCTGACAATAATTTAGCCGGGCAAAGAAGGACACTTAAAAGTGACTCCAGTTAAAATGGAAAAATCTTAGTGAAAAGTTTTGGATTGAAACTTGATCATGAAAAATGGAATTGCAGATTATGAAAGTAAATTCATCTTATTTTAGATTTAGTAAGATTTAGATTATAATAAAAACTATGCTAATTTTTAGAACAATTTTCCGACTATAATAATAATATCTTTACTTCATATTTGACTTTTGTAGCAGAATCAAAAAGAGATTTCTTCCCCCAAAAGTAGTGTTTTTGAATTCCTATTCGAAGACTTCATTAGTTTTTCCAGGGGCCTTTCTGAATCTAGAATGTAACTCTTCGAATAGAATTCTCTATTCAAGTATCTGTTATGTCATTACCCTTTTGATTCTTACTGGTTAGCTGGTCTTTAATTAGGCATAACCCTTAATTATCAGGGGCTTCGCGTAGTATTAGAACAGTTCTCCAACATGACTTCCGTCTACTTTTAGAAATTCTGTATCTTAAATGGAATTTAAATTTAAATTTGCAGGTGGTTTGTATTTGTATAGAGACTGAAGTTTTAAAGAGTCATCAGGAGAGGAAAGACCCACGTGGGCCGTGCACTGCCAACTCCCAGGGGTGCCTGAGGGAGAGAGGTGTGTGGGATGATTTAATTTTATCTGTGGTTGATTCCTAAGTGATTGTTTTAATGTTATGATAACATGTGTTCCTATGCACCCACGTAACCACAGGGACTCGGGTGATCAATGATGCGGTCGTGAGAAGCCCCTTGCCTCCATGACTGGCGGTTAACAAAAGTGGTTGATTGCATGACTGAATATATTAGATCTCCTTTTCCCGCGTCATTTAACACCCATTCGTCTCTCCAAGAAACTATCTAGAGATAAAACATTTGCGAGACAATTCAATATAGCAATAAGAACACATAATAAAAAATTTTAGAGCACTGTCTCTGCAGTGTGTCTGAGGATAAATCAGTAGCCGTGATCCGTGAGGCTTACATCAGAGGGATGATGGGCATTAACTGCTAAAACACAGTGTTGATTTTTTATAACAAATACACATTCGAATATGTGGAAATTCAGAAGGCGGTCATCCCTTTTGATGCAGTTAAGTTAGGAACCTGCGTTTATTCACTCAGGAAATATTTGTTGACATACAATGCGACACATTTTCTAAGTAAGAGGATGCAGTGGTGACGAGACAGACACGTAGCTCTGATGGAATTCACATATAGCTGGAGCACACAGATAACAAACCAACAGATTGAATTCTCACTATTGGATATTTTTAGTGTTTATCAGATAGTGCGGGGTGGGAACCTGGCGTGTCGGAGGCCACTTGGTGGGTGGTAAAGGAAGACCTGTCAGGGCAGGGGGAATGGGAGCTGTGATGAGCCAGGAGCTGGTGAGGAGGAAGGGTCCAGACAGGAGCAGGCAGAGCTTGGTCAAGCTGGGGAGCCCCGGGGAGGCCAGCATGGGAAGCCAGCATGGGGAAGCATTCGAAAGCGTGGTTTTATTCTCAGCTCAACGAGAAGCCAAGTGGGGTAGTTAAGGTGTTAAGATCTACCTTGTTGAACATTATTCTGGCTGCTGTGTGGAGAAAGGATTGAAAGGGGCAAGTATGATGTCAAAGAGACCAGTTAGGGGCTGTGGCCACAGTCCTGGGAGGGGGGCTTGGACTGGGGTGGTAGTACAGGAGGTAGAAATGAACAGATCAGGACAGAAGGTGCTGGGAGTCAAGCTGGCAGGGCTTGGACTAGATGTGAGAGTTGAAGGAAATAAATTTAGAGTAATTTCTAAATGTTTGGTTTGAGCAACTGGGGAGGTGACGGTGCTATTTTCAGTATGGAGAAACCTCCAGGGAGATTGGAACAAGGTGGGGAGGTGGGCGTTGGGAATTCTATTTCCACCGTTTTGCATTGTTTCTTTAGAGAGCCTCATGGAGTTGTCAAGTAGGCGATTTGATTTAAAAAAAAAAAAAAAAAAGATCACTGTTATCCAAAGTGAAGATAAGAAGGAAGTTGTGGCTGAGTTTTAGGTTCGTCGCTGAAATAGTTAAAAACTCGTATTTTTATATCGATTTAGCAATTTAAGTTACATGTACATATTTGAAAATCATATGTTAATTTAGACATATTGCTTTTTTCCTATCACACATTTTACAAGATAATTTTCTTCAAAAGCTTCCTGTATGGATTGGATATGCATTTTTGATATCGGTGTCTTTGGCCCTCCTACTGCAATTTTGGGAGCTTATATTAGTGTTTCCCAGAGTATGGCACCCCACTTGAATCTAAGTTTTTAAGATATAGCATTATTTTAATCAGTGTATGTTGTTGTCCGTGAAAAGTTTGTCCTCAGGTATAGAATAACTTTATAAAACATTAGGACAGTTATATTCTTTAAAAATTCTGTGTTATAGGCATATACCTGTGATCTGTACCATGTACTTAGCTACTATGTCACTTTTAAAGGAGACCTTTAGAAGGTCAAGAACTGTATCCAACACTTGAAATTATGAGTCATCCTCATAAGTACCTGTGTTACCTTTTTAACCCATTTCATTCTAGGCTGAATAACATAGAATAACATAGGTTTACCAAACAATACATTGTTGTTCCAAATAAAATAATTAAGGGAACATCCCATAAATGAAATACGTAGTGCAGACTCAGAAATAAGGCAGTAAATCATGTTGATTATTCATCTCGGTACCCATGAGCCGCTTTTGGTGATTGCCTTGTCTTCCCTTGTATAAAGTGGATTTAGCCAGCCTTCCATTGGTGGGATTCACTTGCTTCTTAGCTTCGCTATAACTGTACTACCGTAAATACCCGGCTTGTTCCTTTGCCACATGTGTGAAATCTCTAGAACAAAGGATATATGCATTTTTAAATTTGTTAGCTATTGCCTGTTTGCCTTCCTAAGAGGCGATAACAGTTTTTGCTACAATCAAAAATATCATAGTGTATGTAATATAGTCTGTGTCTCCACACTCTCCAAAACAGTACATTGCCAAACTTTTTATCTTGGCTGTTTGGTGAAAATATCAATGTTATCGTGCAGTGGAGATTGCATTGCTCTCATTATTACCAAATTCTTTTAAATGTCCTCAGTGGTAGCAAGTGTTTTTATTTTGAAGATAAAGTTTGGTTTTGGAAAAAGCCAACTCTTATGCATAAGATAGATAATAAGTTAGCTGGGACCCCAGTTTTTTGGGGGGAGTGGGTTGTATTTATTTTGAGAGGAAAGTTTAGTGAAAAAGAAGATCTAACTTTTAGATAAAAGTAGTATTCTTACGTGGCTTACGAATTTGCTTAGATGTTCGTTTCAAAAGAAGAGTTCCAAAAATGTCTAAAATAATGTCACTGTCCATCGGTATAAGATTACAGCGTTCTAAGGGGAATTATTTAAATCGAACAATCATTGAATGTTTATGTTATAGTATGTTTGTTTTAAAAAAGGCTTCACCCACTGTGAAGCCTTTAACATAAATAGGTGTCTTTCACAGGAAAGTACATTAAAAACAAATAATTTAAATATTCTTCAGCTGAATTTTTAAAATTATTATTTTATTTTTAAATTGCTTTCCTTTATATCAGGAGCAGATAATCTAGAAGAGATCATTTTTATCATTATTGAACAAGCATTATTAGAGAATATTTACAGAAGTCTAGTTTTTCCATATACCAGATTGATGGTCTGTATTTTCCATTTCCTCTTCCACAAATAATCTGTATATAGTGATATAGATAAAGCTGTCTAAAATTAAGCATATTAGCTAGCCAAATTTGGGTAAATATTTGTGTTTAACTTTCAGATATTTAACTGCAGAACAAGTTGTGTGTTTTCAGCAGTAAATTAATTTTCATATGTGCATTTTCCTAAGACTTGTCAAATTTAGTGTCTTCTTCTTTAATACAAAGTGATTTTGAGACACAGACTAGATGCTCGATGTGTTGTAAATCAGATATCTGAAAGGCGTCACAGTCCTTAAAATGCTTATTGCAGCAATTGTCCTTTAGAGTTTCCAAAATAAAACCGTCGCTCATAAACCATCTTGTTTTATTTTCTGTGACAAATCGGATTATTATCTGATCAGTCACTGAGAGAGAATTTGTAGCGGCCCTCTCGGGGGGGTAGCTCCTTTCTTAAGTGTGTGACGTGTCTGGCTGTTCTGTTCTGCAGAGAAATGGTCAACGCATGGTTTGCTGAGCGAGTGCACCCCATCCCTGTCTGCAAGGAAGGCGCCCGAGGCCACGCCGAGTCCTGCCCTTGCCCCTCGCAGCAGAGTCCCCGGGCGGACGGCAGTGCCCCTGGGACACCAGCCAGGAAGATCTCTGCCTCCGAATTCGACCGGCCTCTGAGACCCATCGTCGTCAAGGATTCTGAGGGGACTGTGAGCTTCGTCTCGGACGCGGAAAAGAAGGAACAGATGCCGCTAACCCCCCCAAGGTTTGATCACGATGAAGGGGACCAGTGCTCGAGACTCTTGGAATTGGTGAAAGATATTTCCAGCCATTTGGATGTCACCGCCTTATGTCACAAAATCTTCTTGCATATCCATGGACTCATCTCCGCCGACCGCTATTCCCTGTTCCTCGTCTGCGAGGACAGCTCCAATGACAAGTTCCTCGTCAGCCGCCTCTTCGACGTGGCGGAGGGCTCGACGCTGGAGGAAGCTTCCAACAACTGCATCCGCTTGGAGTGGAACAAAGGCATCGTGGGGCACGTGGCGGCGCGCGGCGAGCCGCTGAACATCAGGGACGCGTACGAGGTAAGCCGCGGCTGCCACCGAGCAGGCGCGCAGGGCGCGGGGCGGGCCCGTGGGTGGCACTGTGAATGGCCGGGGTTCCGAAGCGGAAATGTGACAGGTCGCATACTTACTAAGACGGGAATGTGCGCTGAGAACGTTCCCCTCTTTGAGATGCCAGTTTCTTCGCTGGTGGTCGGGGCAAAGATGTGGGCCTGAGCACAATCTTGTCTTGTTTTTTTCCTCGTGATAATTTACCGCAGCTCATCTCATAGCTGTATCTTCACATCTTTCCCCCTAATCACTGTGCAGAGCTCTCGCCATGTTCTCTCTGTGTGACCTTCTGAGGATTTTACAGATTCTCAAATGTCAGGTGTAAAAACTGTCCAAGAATTCATTTGTTTTTAAATTAATTCATTCAGAATCATATCCATTCCAAGTCCCATTGACCTCAAAGTCTGATTTTCTTTCTTTCTGTGCTTTTTATTAGGCAAATGTATAGATATCTTTTAAAAATGGAAATTTTTGCTCTAAAATATTTCAGTGGAAAGATTCGATATTTTTTCCCACTACTGACTGCTACAGTGATGTACAGATTTTTAATTATGGACTTGAAGATGATGCTATATAATTCTTCAAATTTCCTACTTAAAATGATCCTTTTTATTAATAGAATTATGGGTTTTAGACAAAGTATTTTAACTGAATGGCACATTGTATGTTTAAGAAATGTTATTTAGCCCTCTAAGAGATGAGTTGTAGCCACTTGCCCTGTAGCATACTGTACTATACGACGAAGGGTCCGCAGTAATCCCAGCCTACAGCTCCTGCCCGTAGTTCACGGGGTCGTCACTGTTTTATTCACACCGCCCCCCGCCCCCCATCCCTAATACAGTGCCCGGCGCATAGTTAGGTCTTAGTATTGATTCAGCAAAAGTTGTAGTAGATTGAGATAGATAAGTAGCATAGAAAGCAGATGATACTAGATGGCTGAGGAAAATGTGGTGGTTCAGGGAAGCAGGAGAAGACGGCTGGCTGGTGAGATGGAGAAAGGTTGGTTTGAGGAAACCATGCTTGATGATGGACCCTGGGCAGCAGGTACGATTCGAATAGGCTGAGTTGTGCACATGAGATCCAGACCGAAGAGAAGTTTCAAGAAGACACAGGGAAGGTGGACCATGTGGCACCTGTGCGGAGTGCTGTGGGTCACAGTCAGGTGGGACTTTGAGGAGTCACTGGAGCAGGGCTAGAGGTGACTGGGGTTTTGAGCGCCAGGCGGAGGAGTGTGGTCCAGGGCCGAAGAGTCATTGAAGATGAGTCAAAGGGGGCCAGAGTGATTCAGACCGTGCTTTATGGTGGCCAGAAAGTGAATTAGAGGGGTCAACGCTGGAAGCTGGGAGGACAGGCGGTTTCCATGACAGGAGGAGGCGGAGGCCTGACCCAGGGCACTGGCCTGCAACATCCAGAGCGGGGAGCGGGTTTCGGATGAAGAAGTAGAGTCTGCTGGGCAAGGCAGCTCCTAGGAGATGAAGAGGGGGCAAAGGAGAGGTGACGATGACTCAGGTTCAGGGGCGGGCGACTGAATCACGGCAGCTGGTGGGGAAGGCTGAGGGCGGGGATTTGGGGGGAGAGGTGATCGTTCAGGTAGATTAAGTCCTGGGCTATCTGTCAGCGCCCGTGCTGCACAGGCGTCTGTTCGGCGTTGACTTCGCAGAGCTGTCTCCACGGCCCCTCTGAGCTGTCGTGACGTCACACCATAGCTGACCCCGGAAGGACCGCTGCCAAATTTGCAGAATTCCCTTCCTGTCTCAGGTGATGGCTGGGTGTCTGCTTTTCAGTGGCACTGCGGTCCCCAGTATGCTAGGACCGTGAATGTGCTTTGGCTGCGCTGAGCACGGCCTCCTTTGTCCGGGGGTCCGAGCTTTCTCCAGCCCTGAGGATTTCTTCACGTATGTGCATTTCGTGTAGACTCTTGCCATCTTCAAAGTTTAGACCACGTGGGTTTGCAGTTGGGATGATTTAGTGCCTGTCGTCGACAGAGCCCATCTCCCCGATGTGGCGTGCTCCCAGGTGCAGCCTCTCAGCCTGCCACTCCTGTGTTGCCCTTTGGCGCCCCCGATCGTGTTTATAGTGGCCTTGCAGACGTTATGTGTGTCCCAAGATTTTGTTAGAAGTTGTGGGGCTGATCTAAGATGTAGAAGTTACATTGGTATTGACAGTGGAAGTCAGCCTCATCGATAATTTGAATAATCAATTACTATCATAGCCTTTTGTGAAAGTAGTCATAACATGAAAATGCATCCGAATGTTTTCTGAGTCCCAGCTTCTCAAACATGCATCTGTAGAAATGACACTCTGTAGCTGTATTTCTAAAGCTTATTTGACCACAGAACACTTGAAAAGTGTATAATGTAGCAGGGGTTGCAGTGGAAAACCTCAAGTGGCCATGAAATATAATCATGCTCAGATTGAAGCTAAGAATAAAAAAAAGCCACAGATAAAGTAATAGTAAGAAATGGTCACCATTTGATTCACTGTTTAAAACTTTATAAGAGAATGATATAAATTAGAAAAATCAACTGTTTTATTACTAATAAAATAATACACCTATGTATTTAAAATATAAGACAAGATCTACAACTCAGGCCAGTAATTCTCGATTAAATCACAGATACCCATGAAAGGGTTAGTTGGTGAGTGCTGCCAGGTACTGATGTTCAGTGACACATCAGCCTGTTACTCATGCAACTTTCTTGGATGTGGCACAGGATTTATTAATAATAAGATATTAACACATAATCAGAATAGCAATATAAATATGTTTATATTAACACATAATCAGAATAGCAATATAAATGTGTTTGCTGTTTTCCTTATATATGAAAACTAGGTATCACCTAATATCTAGATTGGATTGTATATTAGTCAGGGTTCTTCAGAGAAAAGCACCAACAGCAGATAATCTATATATCTATACCTATCCTTCCATCCATATACCCATCATCTGTCTGTCATCTGGATATATAACGAAGAGAGTATGGGAATTAGCTCACTTGGTTATGGAGACCAAGACCTTCCATGACCTGCCTGCTGTCTGCCGGCTGGGGAACCGGGAGAGCCCCAGGGATAGTTCAGTGCGAGTCCAAAGGCCTGAGAATCGGGGGCCAGTGCTGTGAGCCTGATCTGGGCCTGGTCCAAAAGCCTGAGAACCGGGCACTCAGACAGACGGCAGGACAAACGGCAGGAGGGCAGAGGAGGACAGGTGTCCCCGCATCGGTGAGGGGACCTGCGTCGTTCCGGCCACTGGCTCAAATGCTCGTTTCCTCACAGACACCCCAGAAACAAGGCTTGCCAGCTTTCTGGGCATCCCTTCACCCTGTCAAGCTGACACACAAAATTAATGAGCACAGAATGCCTCGAGCCCCCAGTTCCACGTCCTCTGGAAGCCTCGAGCCTCTCTCAGATTTCCTGTGTTAAAGGATTCACGTTGTCCAAACGCCCCTCTTCCTCCCAAGTCAACCGGAATGTCCCGCAGGCAGCCACTCCCCGTGCGCCATGACGTCCAGGGGGAAGACCCGGAGGGTCTCAGGGAAGGGCGCGATGCTGCTCACGCGTCCACCCCAAGTAGCTGCTGTTCCTCCCACCCCCTTTCAGTTCCTTCTCCGGTGAATAAAACTTCACCATCTCTTATCCTGCAGGTCTCACTTCCTCTTTCAAGTATTAAGGTATTTTCCTAAAGAAATATGAGCTCTTTCAAATGAATTTCTGATGAATAAAATGATTCTCAGGATGAATTTTAGAAGAAAGACATAACAATAGCAACTGTTTTAATTTTGATAAATCTGCCAATCTGTCATGGCATGCTTGTGCCCCAGGGAACACAGTTTGGGAACCGCATTGCTCAATGTGCTAATTTTCTTGAGGCAGTGTCTGAAAAATGCCACTCTGTCAAAGAAAACCAGCCTATAATTTGGCAAGTCTGCTGTGTTCTTTCATTTGTTTCCTGTTATTTTTATATAATTTCAAACTTACAGAAAAATTGCAAGACTCATGTAAGAAGCTGCCATGTGCCCATTACCCAGATCCTCCAACTGTTTATGTTTTGCCTCATTTTATCTCTTTTTCTATACATAACGCATGTAAGTAACAAATGCATATTATTTTTCATGAACCATTTAATAAGTCGGAGACATTTAACTAAATGGTGTATATTTTCTCACAGGAACACCATCGGGATACATAAATCAAAACTAGGAAATTTTATGACGCAGTGCTACTATCTAACAGTCTATAGTGACACGTGGTCAGCTGACCCATTAACGTCATTTATAGTTGTTTCTCCCCCGACCAGGGATCTAGTCCACGATCACACCTGGCACACACTGTCATGTTTCTTTTGCCTTCTTTAAATACGGCATAGTTCCTCAGCGTTCCTCTTTCTTGACCTATGTTTTAGAAGAATGCAGGCCAACCGTTTTGTAGAGTACCTTTCCTGAATAGATCCCACCTGGGGTATGGCCCTTGCTCTTAGGGAATGGCCTTTCCGTGTCTCAGCTGAATGCCGGAGGCGCCCAGTGGGATCTGTCCCCTGGCTGGGCTGAACCCTACTGTCCTAACCTTGCCCTAACTGGTGTTGCCATTCAGCGTTCAGCCCGCAGCAGGTGCTGTTTTCTAGTTCTAGCATAGTGCACTGTGCCTGTCCGAAGTCGACGGCTGCCCAGCCTCTGCCAGCCCTCCTTTACACCCCTCTCCTCATCCTACCGCCCCCCGCCCCCGACGGAGCCTTGCCAGTGCCAGCCACCCTGGAAGCCCTGGATCCCGTTCACTTCCACTTGGGTCCCATCTGCCTTCTCCCCAGCAGGAAGATGCCCCCAAGAAGACAGCATGGCATGGCAATCCTGTATTTTCTCTCTTCGGTCCCTGTGCCTTTCTCGTCTCATGTATTTGATGTAGTCTTATATTTTCAGCAGG